ATGTGAATATATATATGTATATTAATATACGTATATTTGTGTATGTGTGTGTGTGTATATATATATATATATATATATATATATATATATATATATATATATATATATATATATATATATATATATAAGGGAGATATAAGGTTTGATATATAGATATACACACACATATATATACATATATATATATACATATATATATATATATACATATTCACATACACACAAATATATACATATATATATATATATATATATATATATATATATATATATATATATATATATATATATATATATATATATATATATTATATATATATATATATATATATATATATATTATATATATATATATATATATATATTATATATATATATATATATATATATATATATATATATATATATATATATATATATATATATATATATATATATATATATATGTATATATTTGTGTGTATGTGAATATGTATATATATATATATATGTATATATATATATGTATATATATGTGTGTGTATATCTATATATCAAACCATATATCTCCCCCTTTTAGAAAAGGTAATTAATCAGTTATCAAAATAGAAGCCTAGAATAGCTATATATATCAGTCAGAGGAAATTCCTATAAAAAAAAAAAATACTGACTAGATCCTCACCCAAATGACTGATGTAAAAAGACAAACAAACAAACAAAAACAAAAACAAAAAGCTATAAATTACTTTACGCAAAATATACAATTGTGCTGCGTCAAAGTTGTAAAATTAATCTTTTGCAGGCTTCAAATTCATAAAATAAAAATCTTTAATCTATTAACAATAGTGCATCCAACAAGCTGTGCTGAAGTGTGCAATAACTTGTGCTACAAGCTGTTCTTGTGCATGCCCATAGAGGGTCTCAGACCAATTGTCCAACAATACATTTATTAAATGTTTGGTCAATTTAAACCTTTGTCTTAAGCATCAATACATTCACTTTAATGCAGTCTATTTCGTGATTATAGTGAAGATACTAATGTTTATGAAAGTTAAAATTAACAAAATATCTGACAAACCCAATTGGCCTGCAAACACCTCTGGACTTTCATACCCTCATATAGTAAATACAGTGTGCATGAAAATGTACATGATTGAAAGCACATGCTTCCATAATTTGCAAAAATAACCTTTGGTTCATTCAATACCTACAAAAAAACACCCTTAACCTTTCTCTTCCTTCATGATCTTAACTTTTACTCCCTTTTACACTCACTCTCTCACTCACTCACTCACTCACTCACTCACTCACTCACTCACTCACTCACTCACTCACTCACTCACTCACTCACTCACTCACTCACTCACTCACTCACTCACTCACTCACTCGCTCTCTCTCTCTCTCTCTCTCTCTCTCTCTCTCTCTCTCTCTCTCTCTCTCTCTCTCTCTCTCTCTCTAGCTCTCGCTCTCTCTCTCGCTCACTCTCTCGCTCACTCTCTCGCACACTCTCTCTCTGTATTACTGTCATATTCTTTCTAACATGCCTTGTGAATTTATTGATCTACCACAAAAACTTCACCTATTCCACAATAAATATACACACCATTTTTGATGAATTTCATATCTTCTGATGTTCAAGAAAAAATGTCTGACACCCTTATGTAAAATTTATGTTAAATTAAATAATTTCATTATTTAATATAATTTCTAACACACTTGGATTTAGTCACTTATTGGACCTTCAGTTAAAAATTAATTAATCTTTTCTTGGCCCCCTGCAAATACTTTTGGTTATAAAAACCAAAGTAAGAATGATGTCAAGTGACTTATAACTTATACAAGTGATACAAGAATATATTATACAAGTGGGTAATTACAAATCATATTTTGGATAATGCAAAATATTATCTGTTGGGGAAAAAATTACAAATATATATATAATCAAAAACACAATTCAAAGTTGACTAATATGAATGATAACACTTAATATTTTCTTCTTATTGTGCACATTATAAAAATAATTAATCATAGAAACATCATCCAATTACATATTTGTACGGGTTTGATTAGGAGAGCTATGTGCTAACATGCAACAAAAAGGGGAAAATGGTTACAGGAAATTAGAAAAAAAGGCAGTCCAAAGAATATAAATATATGGTACTTCATATACTTGTATGAATAACTATTCAACAAGTAAGTAAAACCATATAGTATAAAAAGTACTTCCCACATTAAATAAGGAACCAATAATTTTCTAAGCAAAACCATCATGCACTCAAGAGACGGGATACTCAAAAACTTTCTTTCCGACTGTTGAGAGGTTCTTCACCACGGGACACCAGAGGAGAAGGGATATCCACACACCAGGAGGAAGGGATAAAAAAAACAGAACCTCACAGCCTCACCTTTACCTTCCATGAGGAGCTCTTGTCCATGGGAGCCCACCAGCGTCTTGGATAGGAATGGGGCAAAGTCCACCATGATCTCCCTTAATAGAGGAGACACCGACCCTAAAGCCATCTCCAGTTTCTGGGTGAGGGAGGCTTCACGCGATGGGGTCGGGATTGGTAAGTCTGAGTGAAGGAAAGGCTTGATGTTGAGGTCTTCTGGTCGATGGTGCTTCACCGAGGATGTCACTGGATCAGGCATGTTGGACGGAGATGAGAGCACTGAAATCTGGCCAGAGAGCTGCTGCTGTGGGTCTTGCTGTGACAGAGATTGAGGTGGTGGCATCTGGGGTGGTACTACTTGCTGCTGTGTAGAAAGCTGCTGTTGCTGTGTCACCTCACTTGTCTCTCCTACACCATACACTAGGAAAAGTAAAACTCTTTAGTAAAAGAAAATAAAGTTCAGAATCTATTCCCACTTTATATCATAACTCTGGTTAAGTCTGGTTATATCAGGCGGAAATAGTTCTTAAGCAAATTTTTAAACCATAATACAATAAACAAGTACAGGAAAAGTACAACATATTTTCCATATATACAAAGTTTGTCTAGCTATTTCAAAATAGCATATAACTTCAAAATACCAGTCAGATTAAGACTAATCATACCAGATTTCTGGGATTTGGTGTCAACTTCATCAGGTGTTCCATCATTGAGGTTGACATCAGTCCAAGCATCATCAGTCGGCTGTGCATTCTGTTCCTCATTAAGGCTGACAGCTGCTGATCCAACATCACTTCCAGCTTCACCAACTTCAGAGCCCTATAAGGATTTCAAAGGCATGAGAGAACTAAAATAATGACAATAATAATCATGATAGTAATAATAATAATAACAATAATAATAATAATAATAATAATAATAATAATAATAATGATAATAATACTAATACTAATAATGATTATAATGTTAAAATGGAGACATACAGACATCAAAAGATACATACAAGCCATAATTAAATCTTTCAGCTAATCTATCAAGGGTTTAAAATGGTTACATGCAATTTATGGAACCTATTTCTGTAATGAAACTGACTATTCTCTATTAAAGTGCTTTTATTTACAGTATCAGAATTTGCTCTAGAGTGAGTTGGGTTAAACTGGGAAGAGTCAACTGTAATAGGATGTGCAGTTTTGTTCACCTGAGCTGGATTTGGATAGGTTGGGTTTAGTTAAATAAAATCTGCTGTTTGTTGGACAAAATTTCCATAAATATAATCAAACAGCAAGAGAATAAGTGAGTCATCTTAACTCTACAATAAATGAGGTTTTAACACATTGCCATTGGGTAAATGTGATATCCACAGCAGTTATGTTTTGAGACTTGTTTGACCATAGGAGTCAGTTAGTAGGTCCTAGGTGAACTCACCAGATTTCCCCATTCCTTAATTTTATTTTTTTTTAAATGATGACATTAACAATGCTACTGTAATTATTGCTTTTAAAATCATGATTATTATCATTTCATTAACAATACTAATGCCAATAAAATATAAAAAAGAATCCTTCTGAAAATCAAGGAAAAGAGTAGAAAGGTGAGAAAGAAGGGCTAATAACTGGCTCCATGGTGAGTAAGCTCTTGTGGACCTACTTATGTACACACCTAATATCTCCAGTGGCAATGATTTAAAAGGTACTATACATAATTAATTTAGATATATTTTCATGGGACAAGCATGCCATATCTACTGACCCAAAAACCATCACCTGAGAAAGGAGGTATTACACAAAGTTAAATTTCTTTCATTACTACTTAATGTTTTGTATGCATGATTTGATATTACAAGGGATTTTTTCCCCTTATGCTTTTTTTGTAATTTATTAAATGTATATCAAAGATCATTTTCATAGTAGGTAATAGCTAACCATATAATTTAGACAAGATGAATTAATTCTCAAGATCACAAACACTTTTTTATTTGGAGTTAAATAGAAAGGAATATGCAGTCATATTCAAATGTCTTCAGTTCTAAACATAAAAAAATACTGTAGCTTATTTCAGCAACATAGAGATTTAACAAAGCATCATACCTCAAAAGTGCTATACATCAAGACTGTCAAAATAATCAGAAAAATAAAGAATAGTGCTTTGGATTCTCTCTGAAAATGCAGTACAGTAACTTGTGTTCAAGTGCAACCACTTCAAAATCATAGATAACTGTGTACATGTCTGTGCTGTTTGTGATGTGCTATTGAGTGAATGTAAAGTACAAAACCAAAAAGGAAAAGTAAAGGAAAAAAAATACATACGCAAAACCTTCCACCACCATTACCTAACAAAGTATTCTGCTGTATTTAAAAAAAAATTAAAAATCTTGATACTGACACACACATAAAATAAGAACCAATCAAATCTCATTCACCAGGTGCAGGATGCAATAATTATCAAGCTTTAAAAGAAATAAACAACACACATAAAAGAAAAATCATGTAGAAAGCAAATGACATGGAGCACTGTCCTGGAAACACAACTATACTGCTGAGACTCTGTTACCTTGGGGTTTATCATGTTGTTGCGAGCTACAGGTTTGGTAACCTTAGCCCCATACGCATTACAACCATACTTAGGAACAGGACCAGTTCCTAGAGTGTGGTTAGACTGGGGAAAGACCGGTTGGGTCAGGTTAGTAGTTCTAAAGATGAAAGCCTATGTGTTAGGACTGTGAATCAAGGTAACTGCAGGGATCTAATGATTTCAGACTACTATAAATTGTACATGAATGAATATTAACATGACTTCCAGGCTACTTATTATACATTCTGTGCTGTTTCTTTTTCGATATCATATTTTTTTTCAGGGGGAAAAAAACAACCAGAAAGCTGATCTTTTATAAAGTTGATATGAAAAATCAAAACTGATATATATATATATATATATATATATATATATATATATATATATATATATATATATATATATACAAACAGCATAATCATCAAAAATAACAAGTAGCTTTATCAAAAACTACAGTTTCCAAAGAAGAAACAGCACACTATCTCTCTTACATATCTTTAGCAATGAGGGTATTGCCACTTGCAGAGAAAAGTGCAAATCATGGGCCATTACATAATTCTCAATAAAAGAATTTTCTACAGTATTTGCAAATCATTTCTTAGCTACATTACAGAATAATGAAATGCAAAAAATTTAGTGTAGTTACAAGGCCTTGATACACATCATTATATACAAAACACTTCATAAATCATATGTAAATCTATACAATATTAATAATACTTATACCAATATACTAACCCAAATGATTTATTCATCCCTGAACAATAATTGAAAATGATTATTGAAAAAAAGGCTGAAGAAAGCAGGTAATGGATAGTAGAAAGGCAATTATATAACAAATATGATAATAAAAGAAGGCACAAACACAGTACGAAATGACAAAACAAGAAAAGAAAACAGACAGTCAAATATATAAAAAAAAACACCGCAACAATTACAAAAACAACATAATGGTTAAAAAAAGTAAAAGTAATTATACAATAACAAAGGAAAGAGAATGGAGACAAAAGAATAAAATTAAATGTAAATATACAAACACACACATATATATATATATATATATATATATATATATATATATATATATATATATATATATATATATATATATATATATATATATATATATATATATGAAATAAATAAAAGAGAGAGAGAAAAGTGGGAGATTCATAAAGTATTAGGATTACAATTTTTATTTTGAGTTCTGATGTATCTTTTGCCAGGCTGAACAACCTAAGTAAAAAGCAACTCATTTCTAAGTATTGTTATGAAACATACAGTTATATAAGCAGGTAACCCTTTACACCAGCCTCCTTAATCTTCTGTAAAACAAGGGGTAATCTAAAACAAAGATACAGAATCATCTAATGACTAAAAAATACAAATTCTCAATACATTTTATAAGCATACCTTAAGAGATGGGGGTCCTGAGGAGGCAGTGGAACAGGGGTCTGATGCCAGAATGGAGGAATTATGTTGATCTACAACAATAACCTCATATTCACCATCCTCATCAACTTCTCCTGTGCGCTCGGTACCTGAAATTCATGGAAAAAGTGTTATTTTGCAAATGGATATTCTTGATTTGTCTCTAAAGATTGCTAAGCTAGTGCTGAGTGATGTAATAAATATGTTCACCAAATGATTATCCAATAAAAAAACTATGCCATTTTATTTATTGTTGTTAAAATATATAAACACCACAAAGTATCTTTTTAAGATTATTAAATTAACTGTACATAGATATAGTACTAAAAACTGGGATATTTTTTCAATTAATAACAACTCAAAAGAAATACACCTATGTTCAATAGCACTACAAAAGCAAACTTATAACCTAAATACATAGTAATGAATATATGAAATGGGGACAGAGATCATAACTCTTAAGAGCCACATATTTTTACTGGTGTGTGAGTGAAAAATAGAACTTAAAAAATTACATATTTACAAATACCTAGATCTGCAATAAACACATAAGCACTTACATAATATAATTCTTGCTCTCTCTCATTCATTATGTGTATATGTACACACACACACACACAAATGCACACACATTATATATTTCATATCTGTCTTTACCAAGAGTTCATAAATCATTTCAGTAAGTCTTGTATGTAATCATCAATCTGGTTAATCGATTCCACTGCCAAAGCTGCTTTGCAATATTCATATCTTTTGTAACTTATTCAGTTAATTATGGCATCTATAAATATAATGATCATCATTTAATTCATCAGCATGTATTCTAAAATTATAAAGGGACTTGATATCATGAAAAAAAAATATATAGGATATGTGAAGACACATCTTCAGTCTGCAGACTCACATTGAATTATTAAAGTTCAAATCTTCTGAATGAAACATCAGGACAAGCAACAGAGAGTATAAAACACAGGCCTACTGTTGGCAATGCTTTGCACCGTGATAAACATATAACTACCTTTGTTACAAATCTGGCAAAACATATCAGGTGCTAAGACAGCTATATAGTGTTACTTACAAACACATAATATAAATAGCCACTTAATAAATTTATGCAGCTTATGGCATATATAAATAAAGTATACTTGCATACTATACTGAAAACAACTGATTCTTTTACTCAAATCTGTAAGACAAAACAACAAGGTGCCAGATATTTTACAACTTCTACGTGATCTCCAGACGTCTACAGTGTACCTTCTTTATTCTTGTCTTTCTCCTGTGGAGAGTTTTCCTTTGCATCAGGAGTCTGCAAATGATCCTTTTTGACTGTCTTGTTTCGTCCTCCAAAGAGAGTTACCTTCCAAGACTTCTCTTTTGCTCTTCCAAAGAGACCAGAGGAGGAGTTACCTGGCATGTATTTGGGATCTATTGTTTGAGTGAAAGATGGCAGCATTGGGGAAGCAGAGGATGTTTTTGTTTTATGTACTGCACCCTTGCTACCACTAGAAGACAGTGTTGCCTCCAGTGGTGAATCTTTTGTGTCAGGTGTTGAAGTCTGTATAATGCTAGAAGGGAGTGTCTGTTTGAGATTGGACTGCATCACTGAAAGAGTTAAAGTTGGCAGTCCAGCTGCACCTCCACTCTCGCCTGTGGTTGACAATGACTGCTCCAACTCGCCTGTTTTCCCCAGGTTCTTGGAAACTAACTCTGAGACTGTTGATGTCATCTCCATGGGTAACACTGCTACTTCATTTTCTTTAGTACTCTTTGCTTTATCTTGACACCTCTCCCCTTTTTCTACTTTTGGAGTCTCTTTACTGGATGCTGTTCCTTGATTTTCACTGTCTTTGTCTGTGTCTTTTTTATTGTCTTCATTTGATGCTTTCTCTTCTGATGACATAGATATATCACATGCAGCAAGAAAAGGATAATCACAACTTCCTACCAACATTCATATTATGATAAAGATATAACAATAACCATTGAGTACAGTTATATAATTATAAATTTCAGGCAAAATCATGAGCCTGTCCATATCGTTTGTTACTATTACATCTTGTTATTCAAATTCTTGTACCACCAAATTGACTTCCCAAGTTCTCATAAAACAAACTATAAAACCTACCTGAGAAATGGTGTTGTGTGAATGCCCCATTGGTGTGAGCTGTCTGGGGAGGTGGGGGAGGAGAGGAGGGAGCGTTGGTGGGAGGTTCCAGGATGTCCCTATACTTTGATACCATCAGCACCGAGATAAAATAAACAATGGCTAATGACAGGAACTGTGCTTGCTTGGTTTCCTCCTGTGTGAAATGAAAATAAATCAAGAGTTATTAAACAAGCATTTTTCTCTTTTATCTGAAAAGAACTGTTAAACTTTTCTGTGGCATCAGTGTTCACTGGTATTTGATTTTGACTGGTAATTTTCATTAGATTTTAATTCACTTAATTGATTTTTAGTAAAAATTAAATTAACAATAAGTAATGCAATGAATTCTCTAAATGGTACAAAGGAACTGATGTCATTCAAAAAGGGTACAAAAAAGAAAGAAAGAAAAAATGAATGGGCCAAAGTTTGCCTAAAATACATCTTTACAGTATTTCCTCAAAATCCTTTAGGGTTTACAGTAAGGTAAGTTTCCAATTCAAATTCAGGAAGTTCACCTTGCAAAAATTCAAGCAGGAAATCACAAAAATAGGGATCACAGACCCGCAAAATAGTAATCTGCGTACATACCACATCACGATATATAACAGCCCTGAGTCTGTTGACATCCATATCCTGGAGAAGTTTCTCTGGGTCTCTAACTGGACTGTTCTGTGTACCCAGGTTCTCAACTATGTTCTGTGTTAAGAGAGAGGACCGTGTCAAAAAAAAGAAAATATTTGTATATGATGATAGTAAGTACTCTCTCTTTGATCGGCTTTGACAATTCGTTTATAATTTCACAAGGAAAAAATTTGTAGATTAAAAGTAAAAAATCTACAAAAAAAAAAACTTACACTTTCCCGTCTAAAACTCTTAAAAGCTTTCTATAAAAAATCTACAGTTAAAAATAAAGCTAAAAAGTTCTAGGCAAAATCAACTCATCCAGTACAAATATCCTGTATGGTTTTAAACTTTAAGAGTCACCTTCGGAGATGCCTGAGCTCCCCTTATAAGAGAGTGAATGTGTCTTGATTTACTAACAGGTTTGATGCCATTGCCACTTGCCCCATTAGCATCCTGAAGGCGTGTCCTTTCGCGACACTCCAGACAATTTCTCACAGCAACTGTGCAAACCTATAATACACAGTTATTCTAAAGTCAGTAACTTGCAAACAAATAAGACAGAAAATGAATATCACAACAGAAAACTCTGATATCTCTAATATCATAAAAGAACTTTAATAATGAATTTCAAACAATATTTCACATCCTTCAATTTCTATCTTAGAACACGAAATTTCACATACCAGTCGTAAACACTGTCTGAGAATGCCTCCACTTGACATGTTTTTCTCTGCTTCCAGTTCCGAGAAGTTGAGTGATGAAGCAAACACAAGGACATCTGCCATGTTAACTAATCGATGCAAAAAGGACACAGCCACTTCTACTCCCATCCCTTGTGTTGGCTCCAACACATCTAACTCATTCTGCAAATTAACCAGTTTACAGTATTTATAATCCAGAGAATGTACAAAAGTGCAGACATATAATAAAAAAAAATGGAAGGTATAAAAAATATCTACACACTTAATAGATAATCAGACACAAAGACAACCTTAAGTTCTGCACAGAATGACACAAATTAAAAAATACTTACATTAGGTGAGGTAGCTGATGCTAATAATGGCAAGAGGCCACCACAAGCAATAATGAGATTGTCTGCCAGCTGAGATATGAGGTGAACTGTGTTAACCACAAAGATGGCATTTTCACTATTGTTTACGAAGTCCAGTACACTCTTTGTGGAGTGGCTGTAAAAGACAGAAAGTAAAATAAGAAAGATGATCTATAAGACTATACATCAATTTGATGTACTGTTCTAAAAATGCCCAAGAAAATCATAAAACAATGTAAAGGGTTGATACATACCTTCTCCACACTTGCATATCAGTTTCTAAGGAGAATAACACATCTGACAAAAGTCTCTGGTGAATGTATGACCACCTGAACTCTGGAATTCTGAAAGGTGGCCGTGTAGGTCCTGAGGAGAATATCTGGCGAGAATGGGACTGTGAAGAACCAATAGAGGAACTTCGGGAGACTGATGCTGACTTGCGTTCTGATTCACCTGTGGATAGAGTGTCTCATTAGTTTCAATATTTTATACATAAATACTTATTCCATGATCTATGTATCAATATGCATATAACCAATAAGCTAATAAATATAAACAAATTAATTAGTACTTACTCTGTCTGTCTTTTTCCTTTTCTGCATTTGCTTGATTTGTCAATGAAATTCCATGTCTTTTCAAACCAAGATCAACTTGGTCTTTTGATAATCTTTCCACTTCACTGCTTTTTACAATGGAGTTTTCTTCCACCATCTTGGCTTCCATCTCCTTGTCATCCTCTACAGGAGGAAGTGCATTTTCGCCAGCTTCAACCTGTACCTGAAGGATATCTTCTGCCTCTAATCTATCTATATCATCATCTCCAGTTTCCTCTGTCTGGGATTCTTTATCCCTGGGCCTGTGTCTGGAACTTGAAGCAGGAGTAGCCACCTGGGATGGTTGCTCTTCAGGAACAAGAGCATTGGGCACCCCCTCCACAGTCTCTGGATAGGTTCTTTCTGTGGTATGATCAAGTTGTCCCTGTTTTTCTGTGCTTTTGTTTGTGCCTGGTATAACTGACATGTCCTTCTTGGGAGTACCTTCAGTCTCTGTACATGAGGAACTATGAACCATTGTAATGGGTGAATCCTGAACCTCTATATCTGATGATGCAGGTTCACAATTACCATCTTTACTTGGGGAACAGAGAACCTCTTCCATGCTTGATTGCAAATCTTCCACAGTGGAATCTTGTACTTCTTTATTTGTCAATTGTACTTCAATCTTGGTCTGCTCTTGTTTGTCTTCAGCTAAAGTCTGACTGGTACTTTGAGTCAACAAGTCTTTTTTGGGAGTTGTAACAGCACTACTAACAGGACTAGAAGCTGCAGGGGAAGAGGCAGAATTAGCAGTGGTTTGTACATTATCACAGGCTTTAGAAGGTAGGGTTAATAAACCTTCAGAGGCAGATATTTCTATTTTTGATGTGTCTGGTGGAACATCTGACACTGGTGTTTCTTCTACATCAGTATCTTTATTACTAACTAAAGGTGGCTGTCCCTCTATGCTATCATTTTGTCTTTCAGAAGCCTTTAGTTCAGGGGCTATGCTTTTGTTGTCACTCAGTGTTTCCTTTGTTTTTTCTTCAGTATTTATCTGCTTAGTATTATCCACTGATGAGACTTCCTGTACATCATTTACAGGAGCCTGATTTGAGTCCTTTTCTTCAGTTTCCTCCTTTGCTTCTGAACTTTTGCCAACAACATCAACCACTTGAACTTCACCTTCCTCATCAGTTTCCTTCACTCCCCTCTCTTTCTCACATTTATCCTTCTCATGTAAGCTTCCTGAGATAGTTGCAATCATTGGTTGCTGAGGAGGTGCTGGAAGTGCTACTTCAGGAATTTCTGAACTTTCATTCTCTTCAGCACTTCCTCCTTCTTCAATTTCTTTCACTTTGTCAGTTTCCTCCTTTGTTCCTTCTTTCTCCTCTTCTCTAGGTTTTTCTTTTTGTTCATCCTCAACTTTTTCCTTTGTTTCAACTACCTCAGTTCCATCAGAGGTATCAGGAGTTTTTTCTCTTTGTGTCTCCTCTCCTTTTACATCTGCAGTGCTCTCTTCACTACTTTTGGGCTTCTCGTCAGATGTGGTGTCAGATGTTTCTTCTTTCTCCGGCTTCTCCACTGGTGGAATGACTGTAGCCTTGGTTTCCACATTTTCTGTATCTGATCCTTCTTGCTTGTCTTCATCTTTCTTCTCTTCTTCATCTGACTTGCTTTCCTCATCTGCTGTGCTTCTTTCACCTTTCTTTGGTGTATCAGGATCTTCTCTGGCAACATCTTCAATTTTCATGCCCTCCTTTTCTTTCGTTGTTTTATCCTTCTCCTCCTCTGCTACTTTCTTTTCACTCTTCTCCCCACACTCCTCTATGGTTTTATTATCCAAATGTCTGTTATCCAGGGTATCTACCTCTACACTGCTAGTGTTGAGCATTTCATTACACCTAAAATCATCTGGATCAGATATACTAACTTCTCCTTGGATTTGCACAGTTGTTGGATTGGTTTCTAAAGGTTTTAGATCTGATGAGGAGGTGGTCTCTAAAGTCCGTTCTATGGCACTATGAGAAGGTTCACCCTTGTCTTCTGCCTTTAGTGCATTACCTCCACTAACACTACCCAAACTGTAACCTAGACTCTTGTCCTCTTTGGGCTCTGCTTCTTCCAAAGGTTTCTGAAGATGCTGCTGGTGAAGCTGCTCTTTTTCCTCTGTTATCTTGATGCCCTGACTTCTCTCCTTTAATGCTAAGTCAGTTTCTATATCTTTGGGAAGTTCTTGAACTGGTTCAGGTGTGCTGGAAACTTTCCCATTTTCAACAGCTGGCATTTTTTCTCCTACAATCTGAAACAAAAAAGAAAAAATAAATATAAGTATTTCAGGCTTAACAATAATACAGAAAATTAGAATTCTACATTCACTCTTTGTTGTGTAAAAAGCCTAATGTAAAATTCAAAGTACAAATCACAGTCACATCTAACATATTTCCTTTAAATCACAGCACCATGAAACATTCAAAAGAAAACAATAGCTTACCTCTGTTCCACTGCCATTGGGGTACACATCTGTGTTTACATAGTACTGTCTGCTTGCCGCCTGATCCCAGCCTGAGATGGTAGAGATTGGCCTCTGTTGCCGGATAGCTGGGTCAGTGATGTTATCTGACCGATGCCTCTCATACTGCTCATACATCTGAGCGAACTGGAGTTTGAATTCTTCATATGATACCTAAAGAAAGAGAGAAAAAAAAATGCAATAATTTTTTTCTTGGTTAAATATATATGCTATATAAGAAATGTGATCCACAAATATCCCCGACAAACATCATTTGTGTTAACATTCAAGACAACATAAGTAACATTTTTGAACTATCAATCAATACAATAATTAAATTATTTAGTAAAATGCCTTTTCTAAAAGTAAGGAAAAATTTTCAATTCTCTACACAGATTTGAGTTTTGTGCTTTTCAAGAACTCCATTTTCAGAAAATTACCTTAGAATGAACAATGGCCAGTGTGTCAACCCAAACCCTCCAGCCCCCATATTCAAACTTGATGGCATGATGGAGCAGCATGCGGAACAGGGAGTAGACCATGTCACTGATCTTCTGTTCTTCTGTTGTTCTGGGGTGGATGTATGCCAGTGCAATGAGCCATTCCTGAAAAGAAAAGGTTTATAGTCAGATTCTTGAGTTCACACTTTTAGAGATTTAATTCTCCATAACTTCACTTTTCCAGAGGATATTCTGAATTTGTATTAAAAGCAACAAGAGTTATCTTCCAAAATATACTAATTATTATACCAGTGCAGAATGAAAATTATGGTTAAATTATTTGTCGAACAGAAATAAGTAAAAAGCATACCCACTAACCATGTACAATTTATTGTTTTTCTTACCTGCCATACTGACATCTGTAACACTGTTCTCCTGTTGTCTCTATTGTTATTACAGAGTAATGTCATATCTGACAAAAACAGTTTCTTCACCTCCATTAATGAATCAGAGGGTTTGCTTTGGCGAATCAAAGTTGCACAAACTTTCAGGATCACTGAAAATATATATTAATCAATATATAATTTCTAATGTAATTTGTATAATATTGTAAAAGAAAAGTCTTCATTTCACACTACTCATGAATTCCAATTTCATTTCAATACTTTAAACTTATCAAACAACATCAACTAAAAATCAAAGTTCTTGCAACATCAAATGTTACAAGACAAATTCAAAATCAAATTTGCTACTACAGTGAAAAAATATATCACAGTAACTTACTTGGGTTTTCTAGACGGTAGTGTGATTCTGGTTCTGGATGCTTGCAATACATGACTTGCTGACTGATGTGCTCAGTTAGAATCTGTCACCACAAAGTTAACAATTTAGTAAAAGTCATTCATAATTATAAAAAAAGAAAAGAAAAAAAAAGAAACTGTGGGTAATTTCTTAAGAAACAAAATTGTTCAAATGCATACATACAAACATTTTATATATATATATATATATATATATATATATATATATATATATATATATATATATATATATATATATATATATATATATATATATATACATATATATAAAACAATAATGTTAATAATCATATGATGGATAAACAAATAACCAAATTATCTCATTATCACCTTTTCATCAAGAAAGAGGAAGTCTTACCTCATAAAGACAATTGTAGGTTGGTAAGGTGAGCGTTTCCTCATGCACCAGTAGTCTCTCGGCAAGAAGTGTGTACAGGTTGTGGGGGTTCATGACATCGTACTTGCGCCTAAAATGAGCCATCACGTCATCATGTTCACTGTGGACCAGCCACCACCTGGATGGCGCATTGGTGGTGGTGGTGTTTGGTAGTAGTGAAGTGTGTGTTGTTGTGTTACATTTACAGTAGTAGTGTTAGTGGTGAAAGTGATTGTTGTAGTAGTAGTGGTTGTGGTGGTGGTGGTAGTTGGTGGTGGTGGTGGTGGTTGGGGGCAGAACCAGCCAGGGCACAGGGGCACAGGGGAGAGAGAGAGAGGGACACGATCACAACACACACGCGGCACTACCAACGCCCCAAGACTCAAGCGGCACCAAAGTATCAAAATCTCTACATATAATCACTCAGTCAAAGGCCAACATAAAAATCCCCTGACAGCATTAGGCTTGATAACAAAGAACTCATCTATTTAATACAAGTTACTCAGATAGGACTATTCTTGTACCGCTTAGTCTGTATCTCTCACAATTGCATCAGACAGGATGTACAAGGACTCTGGGGCTGTAAATCAACTCTTAACACAAGTAAAACAATTGAACAAATTTATACACTCAACAATGGCTCTAACACGAGATAAATAAAATAAAAAGTAAATCTACATCTTGCAAATGTTTCTAAATGACACATTACTTGAAAACAATGAAGGATTTTTAACACTATAAGAGGAACGTCTGTACATCTGGTGTGCTTGTAAGCCAGTGGGCATTGGAATTAATTTTGTAGAGTATGGGAAAACAGGGAAGTCAAGGGTACCACAAAGGTAAAACTAGTGAAATAAGGGTAAATATGTGCATAAAGAATATCAAAGCTTAAAGAGAATCTGGAGTATTTCAGATTATTTCTTATAATATTTTGTAAATAGTATAAGAAAAGCTCTACCACAATAGTGGCTCTATTCACAGCAATCTCTGATTGCAATAAAATATTGATATATGCATAACACATGATAAAATGCTGCAGCCAGTATTCTAGAGGTTTTGAAGGAAAAAAAAAAGTAAAATAAGTAACAAATCTGGAAACAGCTGAGATAGCACACATGCAAAGAAACAAAAAATGCACACTCTTCCCATTCATGACCACAGCACAAACATTCACAAGATGGGGAGCATCATGCAGGATTGTCTAATGTGTACAGTGTTGGGGAAAACACCAAGCCATGATAACTCACATTCTGTATAGGGAATTGTCTCTGCTCAGCTTGTGCTTGACAAACATGTTTCTTAAATGTAGAATATATAAAACTTATTATACTAGACACAAAACTACACATTCTTCTCAAATTATCTGAACTGTATACTTTTGAAACTGTTTCCTACAGTCAATGTTATCATATGATCCTCACTCTTTTCACTTTTTTTCAATTATAATATAATCAAAGGACTCTCATTAACAAAGCCTGAAATTAATTAAGCCCTATTCAATAAAACAGTGCAAATAGTTAAACTATTTAGTTAACTTTCACAATAATTTCCCTTTCAAAAATCCCCTAAAAGTACTCCTAATCTAGATTTCTACTGAAGTTTAATAAAAGTCTTTGCCACAAACAAAATTACATTCTTTTAACAACAACAAAAAATGAGTGGTAACTAATAAGACAACCTCTAATGTTTTACAGATTACCAGTTACTGCCAGTATGCTTTATGACTTGCTGAGAAACATTCCCTAGAAAGTAACTTTAAGAGGCAGAGAGACTTTATAATTTAGCTATAATATAAATGGGTTAAGAAGCTCAGGTTAAAATAGCTCTGTTGCTAAAACAATATGTACAACATTTTTACTGGCATGCAGCAATGAATTTATCTGAAACTGTTACCAAGTCCTTAAATTTTATCATCAGTGCTGAACTATTTGATATGTTATAATCACACTAAGATGAAATATCTTTACTTCATTCATTTAATGGCAAAATGACAAATAACTATAAATCACTGCAAACATTCATAGATTAATAAATCATTCAAATATAATAAAAGTAAACATCAAATTTCAAAATCATATGATTCCTAAAAATAATAACTTGGCAAAGCACCTCTACTCCATTCAAGAAGTCAATGGCATAACATTCAAGCTTATCAAATCCTAGTTACATTCCAAAAATTCCTTAAGTACTTAAAGCAAGTGAATTCTCTACTACCAAAATAGTTCTAATCCAAGAAACTGATGCCTGAGATCAACTTTACCATGTTGGTTTAATCTAATACATCTCCTAACTACGAATTATTTTCTTTTTCTTCTGAAATAGCAGCAGAATTAAATGAAATCAATCAAATTTGAATTTTACTTAAAAGCATACAAGCTGTATCCATGTCAACAACTTGAACTCATCCTGGAAAAACTTTACAGAAAAACAATCTTAGCAAATCAAAATCGTATCTTGTAATAAATATATTCTATTCATCTAGTGTTATTTGTTTTCCAAGTATTCAATATAACAACAGACACAGTTTGGATGCCTGTTCATGTGCCTGCATAGCAAGCTGATCTCAAGTAACACTTTTGAAGCTGGAGTAAACTTTACACGTACTTGTGAGTGGATCTG